CGTTGAGTGATACTTAAACCTCCAAGAGAAATGGAATATTTTACTGAGTAAATTCGTGTCAAACCTTTAAAAGCGTTTTTCTCCGATTTGTATTTCTGCAACGCTGACCACCGGGTGTCAGTTCGTGGTGTCGGTGACGAAATGTATACATTCGTTTTTTCCAGTCTTGAGTGAGCAGGCGCGTGAACTATACATTATATTAAATTCCCGCAATAAAGTCTTTAAGAATTTGCATTAATTGATACATGTATTTTCATTTAATGTCTTCTTTATGAAGTCCACTTTAGCACCAAATAGCCAGGTTTGAAATGACCGGCCAAGGTTAACGTGGTTGGTAACTGCCCTCAATATTACATCATTATCTTCGGAATCATTGGCTTGAAGTTCAAATTTCAACTCCCGCCATAAACACGAGCTGCCCCCTAAAAGGACACCGTCCAAAATGAACTTTACACCCGGAGTATATACAGGGCGAGTCAACAAGAAAGTGACCTGGATTACTGATTTTTTTTCCCCCATTTAAAAGCAATTAAATTTTACACACCAACGAAGCATGTATGAAACGAGCATGTTCTTTCACTCATTTATAAAATAAAACACTAAGAATTACTGAAATTGACTCATGCAATGAGAAGTTATGCATATTTCACTAAAAGAGTCCATTTTTACAGCTGTCCATGAAATGCCATTGGAAGCTATTGAGCTGAGTAAGAACAAGAGATTACACACAGGCATTCAGATACAATTGAGATTGAACAAACAATCGTGCAGACTGAAACACTATACTGTCAGATTTTGTGTTTTGAATATGAGGAAATGTTTTCTGAAAAAAAATGATGTGATTTTTGTTTTTTGAGTCAGGTTGGCGTAGCGGTACATTCCTCGCCTTCCACCGCTGTGACCCGGGTTCGAATCCCGCCTGGGCCAATATGTGGATTGGGTTTTTAGTCCTTACCTGATTCCGTGGGTTTTCATCAAAATACTCCTCTGGGCTTTTCCTCCCACCTCTAAAAACTGTAATTTCTTCACATTGTCTTCCCTTTACTGGGACCCATGGTAGATCAGTGGATTCCACTGAATGGGCTACCCAGTTAAAATAAGAAATAAAATTAATATATGAATAAATTTGTCTTTTTTTTATGTGCAAATTTGCGTTTATTTGTGAATGTAGGAATACGCCTTTGTCTCATTGTATTTGAACGGTTAATGATCATTGGTGGACAGCTGAATGTTGCGATGTTTGTATTAAAATAAACATTGTGAACATAGTACGCAAATCAGGTGAAACGAGCCACAATCATATTTTTTTTTAAATATTTTCTCTCATTAGGTTACTTTCTTTTGGACTTTCCTGTGTAGTTGGCTTGACACAGGGCAGCTGTGTTTTGTCATAAAACACAGCGGCGTGGTCAACCCAAACAAACCGCGGGGATAATTGCGGAAATGAGTGTTGTACAATAATGATAACGCGCGAAGCTAGCACGCATGGCCGGAATCGAATCGACTGCACAATGATCGATATCGCCTGAATGACTTTGGCGCGAACACATTCAGTCCTCCTCCCCCGCTAAAGATGGAGGGAGTTCTAGAGTCTTAAATAATTCATGCAGATTCGTGAATAATTCTCCAGCTTTTTTTTTTTTTTTTGCATTCTGATGTTCACATCCTTCATTCTTGATCTAGGGGTCCCTGCCCCTTGTGTAATAGAAACGCAAAGCCGAGAGAAAAATGGTTTTGCGGGGGAGGGTCGGAAGCTGTTGTTGCATTATATATTTTTTTTCGGGGGGGGGGGGGGGAGACGCGTTTTATTGCCCTAAACGTGTGTGGATTTCGGCATAAAATGAATACTCCCAAAATAGTTGGCCTGAAAAGTGGAAATCCCAAAGAAACAATCTCATAATCTCAAAGTTAGCATCATGAAAAAAATGCATTAATTGCAATTTCCCCTGTATCAGTTTGGAAACCAGTTTCTGCATGGGGATCTGGTGTGGCGTAGCGGCTCTTTCCTCGCTTTGCACCGCTGTGACCCGGGTTCGAATCCCTCCTGGGCCAACATGTGGATTGGGTTTTCGGTCCCTACCTGATTCCGTGGGGTTTCCCCAGAATCTAATTCTGGGGTTTTCCTCCCACCACTAAAACTGTTATTGCCTTCCGGCATCTTCTACTGTTGGATGTCGTCGAAATAAAATATATTGATAAATAAATAAATAGATTTCAAACATGGTATTAAAATCATAATCACCTTTGCACGGGTGTTATGTGATCATGCATTAACTTGTGAAGTGTACTCTTGGCATGGAGCACAGCATCCCTTGATGAAATCTGACAAAGTTCAAAATTCTGAAACGAAATGCTCTCTGAAACGAAATGCATATGCACAAGTCTTGTTAGAGTCTGGTAGGCCAACTCTTTATTACCTGTTGTATTGCCTTCAAGGCCTGCTAACATACTGACTGAAGTATCTCCACAGGGGCTAGCCAAGTGGCGGATGAGAAGTTCTTTCTTTAAGATATCAGCGTACCCCTTTAAAGCAATATCGCAAGTAACTTTTTGATATATCTCTCATCTCGCCACTGCACTTTTGGTGTGCAGGCTGCCCGTCCGTATGATTTAATAAACTGCGGTGTCCTCTCTGAAATTTCGCCGCCCGGTCACTCTTGCTTTCATAATATGCCTTCCGGCAAAAATGCGCTCCCAGATTAGTTTCCGGGATGCCCTTCTTTAATTTTGGTGTCAATCTCATGTTAGGTTATGTTCTTCCTTTGCGTCTTTCCTTGGTGCCCTGCACTTTGTGCCGTGTTGACATTTGGTAAAGCTGGTTTCCAGTTTCCCAAGGAGAACTTGTATATAGGGCTTTTTGTATATATGAGTCAGTGATATAATATATACAGCAGCTGCCAAGATGAATTATAGTCTCAGAGATTTGATCAATGACTCTACTCCCCCCCAAAAAACTTGGGTGTTCGTTTTAATAAAATGGCCCTCGATCTCAAAGTGGTCTCGTCCGGATACTGGGCAAAGTGGGTCAATTCATCATCATGAATCATTCTGGAACGACGCTTGGTAAAGCACGAGGATGTGAATATCCTATACGTTGATGGGCCACTTGCTCCATCTTATCGTTCACTGTGTGCGTGCATTCATTTCCTATTCTCGCCTAGAGTTCGGATGGAGGATGGTCTGTGGTGTAACTCAATCATTTTCCTGACAGCAGGTCGATGAGGGCGGTATTGATTGGTGTCCGTGTTTACCACACTGACCAGTGGAAACTGGAAGGCGAAAAAAATATGCATATGTTTAATTAGGAATCCGACTATTAAGCGTAAACAAACGCGATACATGTTTTCCAGTTCAAAGAAAAAACATAGGAAGATAAATCTGTATACATTAAAAACATTTTTGGAAAAGTCTCCTGGTTGAATCTACAGCATAAATAGCCATAGGCTCTACAAAACGACCGCCAATCGACCATAACGGTAGCTACCCGGCGGCCGTCCAATTTCTAATTAATTCCCCGGACCTTTCGCCTCTGTCAACGCGGCGGTGTTATCACTAAAATGCCGCTATGCAATATGATACAAACGATAACAGTGGACAAACCGTAAAGCGACACGCATTCCTAATCGTAATCAAGCGTTCGTTAACGGGTCGTCAATGTATTTTCCGAGTGTTTATTTTGACAGGCCCGCCAACGAGCGAGAAGTGGGTCAAATTCTTTTCATTTCCAAAGGATTTTCTCTAAGTTCCTCAATCTCTCTCCTTATTTTGTTATACGAGCGGGGTGCCGCGCTTCCGCTATGGGTGGAGTCGTGGCACCCGCTAGCTGGGTGGAGTCGTAAAGTGAAAACTTGAGAGGTTTACCAACGAACATGATGGATTTATCATCTATAACGTTGCTGTGAATCATACAAATGATCAGTGCGCCCTCAATTGACGTATTTTTGAGAAGGGGTTCATTATACAGTCAAAGGCGGATCCAGGGGGGGGGGGGGCCAAAGGGGGCCATGGCCCCCCCCCCCAAAAAAACAACGAAACCAATTTTTTTTTTTTTAATGTGACATCGCAATAAAGGCAGGCAATGAGTACACCACCATCTTTTCCTCCAAAAAACATTGGTTAAAGTGGGCAGAAATTGCCTCAGATCGCACCACAGAGCATCTAGAATCCAAAAATTTTTCGGGGCCCTTAAGCGGGCCCCGAACCCCACGCCGTAATTTTTTTGACCCATTTTTTGGGGGACCAAATTTTTTTTTGGCCCCCTCCAAAATTGTGTTCTGGATCCGCCCTTGTATACAGTCAGGTTTTGAAATGCATATTCATATCGTACGAATTTGTACGATGGACGGTCAGAGGGTTATTGACCTCAATTTGCATGTTAGCCCAAAATGGGCGTGGTATTAACATTGGTGAAGCAATTTTGCCACATTTTCATCATCAAAGTTATGTTTTGCGTAATAGCGATACGTTTTGGTGTATATAGATAATGTTGTAATATTTAACTATTCAAAGTCTCAAAGAAACAAATTTGTCAAAAAAAAAAATCGTTTGTACACGTGTCAATCGTGACTTCAGAGGACAGTGAAACCAGAGCATATTTATACCATTTAAGGACTGCATACACTGAATGCCCGCATAATCAAAGGAACCGTTGATATTATATAACCAAGCCTCTCCATTCACCCTTGCATTTTGTGCTTCCGCGCACTCATTAGGCCTTTTACTAAAAACGTGACACACAGATATCAGACGGACAGACAGCGTAGGATCTTTTCATATAAGATATAAGCGATTGGTAAAAACAAAACTTATTGTCCCAAGGGGTTGGCAACTTTTTTGCACAATCTGGTGTCGCTGAGTCTGCCCATTGGAAACAGTGTTTGTTTTCAATGAACATCGAGCGCCCTCTGTTAGTCAGCTTGGTTATTTCCACTGTGTCCTAGAAACAAACGATCTTAACGGTGCAGTTGATACTCATGTGCATTTGATTTTACTCGTTACAGGAACGTACAGCAGTTTGACTAGAACCTCCTAGCCTGCCACGTGTCCGCGGTGACATTCTACAACTGTCACGTGGTTGCTCGCACGCCATCTCGATGTCCAAGGTGAGAATAATTTCCTTCAATTTTCTCGCAAATTGAACTGTGTGAACAATCAAAAAAAAAATCCCCACCACCTCCCTCGAGTGTGTTTAGCCACCTGTCTGTTAACCTATCTCTACCACTCGCACACACGCCACAGTAACTATCCTCTAAACACTGTACACAGAAATGTGTGATGGCCGCAATTAAATCGTAGGGTGGAGTGGCAAAGGAGACAACCCCACTCGAAAAGCGCCGTTGGAGACGCTGGAGTGGATGTTGACACTGGGGCTCGGTCAACATTGACTGAAGAACACACGCGGGTTATACGGTACAATCGCTTCACGTAGGCCTAGGCTACATGCCCGGCTTGCCGTTCACGTATATAATAAGGCCGGTATTTGGCTAGGATAGGCCGCGGACTATCGCGGCAAACAGGGGCTGCCAATATTTTTTTCTTTCTTCAATAACCGGTCTCTGCTATTTTGGTCAAACACTGACCCAGTTCTGGGGCCATTTCGCGAACAAAGTGTTGACGGAACCCGCGACCCTCCACGGTTAGGGGGGATTGCGCATGTGGCGCTTATTAACGTGGCTATCGTCTGATGACATTCAATATTGGATATATAAATAATTGCGAAATTGTGTTTGTAGAGATACAATCGGTTTTTCAGAACAGTCGTGTCGCTGCATTTTTACGAGCGTCGCTTCAGACTTTGTCCGTTTCAACTCCTGGAAAAACAAAAAGACCTCGAGTTGGCGCGACGGCACAGTAATGTTATCATTTCGGTGCCCCATTTTCAGCGTCCTGGTTTAAAAAACTTGACGGAAACTATGCCGACGTGTTTGAGGCGGTAAGTGCTTCAATTGACTGCATGTTATTATCTCGATGATGACTCCATAAATGATTTATAGTCGTTTGAACGCGGTGATTTCATTTCGGTTTCGTCTTGAGCAAACAAATGGCTATACACTGCAAACTGAAAGGGTCATTTTGTTTCCTTGTTTTGAACCGTTTATTTACTGACACAAAGTGGCAAAGCGACATGAGTTTTTTTTTTTTTCCTATGCGCTTAAAGTGCAACATTATGGACGAATAAATTGCTAAAGGTATGACAGTCTTTTAAATACCAGATTTTACAAGTAGCTTTTGCCATTTTTTCTCTGTGTACTGCGTCAGGTTAACGTTTGTTCGCAGTTTGCAGGATCTTTGTCCAGGCTTCAGCATAACAAAATGAATCCTCATTTCGTGAAAGCAGCTACACAGGGTGGGTCAAACAATGGAAACCCAAATGGTGCCCCTTATTTTTTGTTAAAAGAAGTTCTGCATGTAGCGCTTTTCAGATCTAGGATATGAAAGCCCAATTAATAAGCTCTGTTTTAGTGGGGAAAAAAATTCAAATCGCTCATGTTCTTTTTTTCAGTTATGGAATTATTAACACAAACACCCTTTTTATTGTCAACGGATCACAATGAAGGTATAAGTGGTATTCAGCAAAACGAAAACTATTCGCATAATAAAAACACACATCAGCACACTCTCATAAACAAGATAACTGGCACTTATCATAACATTTATTTAAAAACCTGCTGCTTCCAATGTTTATATAACATGCTTTATAATATCAAGAGTTTATAGTCTTGCCCTGTCTTCTACTTGGCTACCCTGGGGACTTATGGGATTATTCTGATATCATTTTCTGGATAGGCCTACCACATGGTTTCATTTTTACTGAAATATCACGTACCTTCATTTGATCCGTGGACAAGGATCTTTGTGTTCAAAGTTCCATAACTGGAAAAGTGCATGAGCGATTTTCATGATTCTTTCACTAAATGAAAGCTAAGTTAATTGGGCTTTCATAATTATCCTAGATCTGGAAAGCGCTACATGCAGAAATTTCTTTAAAAAATAGGAACACCATTTGGGTTTCCGGGTTTTTTTAAAATCTCCCTGTAGACATAAAGTAACTGCTCATATTAACTGATGCGTATTATCAGCAGTATACAGACCTTCAACGTAATTGCATCAAGAAAGTTTTGTGCCTGGAAGGATAGCATTTTGTGAACACCAACCAAAACGCAACCCGGGCTTATTACGAAACGCCGACCTGTAAAAAAAGAAAAACACTTCATCAGTCAATGTCCCCCAACCGGAAGTCCCCAGGTCTTAGGGACTAAGCAACCGAGGGAATGACTCAACAAAACAAGCCGATAGGTATTTAATGCTCAAACAGGATTGCAATATGATAGCGGAATTGAGCTCACTCTCTTTCTGATGGAGCCCACGGAACCACGTTCTAATGGATCCTCGGCAAAGTAAGAAAAAGAAAAGAACCACAATCCAATCAAGAAGGGGAAATCCTACATTAGCCCAATCGGGGGGGGGGAGGGGGCAAACCGAGCGTATATCCCTACACCGAGTGATGAGGCACGTTGGCCTGTTTTTCTTCTTCATATCTACCGACTTCAGTCCCGCCAGTCACAATCTTCAGTTAGTTTGTAACTAGTTTTGAGTGGACGAGGCTACTGGGGAGATGTTTTTTGGGTGTTCTAGTGAATAGTGCAGACGACTGTTCTATGAGTGCTGCAAATGAGCTGTGCATTGTTTGACACTGATGGAATACCAAAGAATGCCTTTCTATATTTCACACTCTGAATGAAATGTCATCATATAAAGCCAGAGATTGCACTTACAATCTAAACCTGTGTCGACCCTACAGCTTGTTTTATTTTAAGAAAGGACATTCGAACAAATACCATACCCATAGTTAATGTTTGTCTAGCCATTTTGAAAAACACTGTCATTTTGCGTCAAGGAACGCCTTCGTTTCTCAAAACCTTTCAAAAGCTTATGCGTCCTCGATTGAGATTTTAAAAGTGCTTATGCGTAGCCTCGTCATCCTTATCTGCTCCGTCGTTGTCCTTATCTTTCTCGGGTCGGCGTCTTTCGAGGTCGAAGCCCGTTACTCCAAGCGTGAACGAGTTTATATACCGCATAATTCCCATCCCAATCTCGTACTCTTGAAACCCTGCTTCCTCCTCATCGTTCGCCCGTGATTATACTACTTGTCGCTGCCCGCTCAACCGGACAGTTTGAACTGTCAGGGCGCGCGGACCGGATTGGGTGGATAATTAGCTTAGATTGCAACAGCGGCGCCAACCGTGGTGGAATTAGAAGTCTGCACGGCGGCGTACGCGGAGCGCGTGCTATCGGGGTACGATAGTTGATGAGTTCGCTCGTTTAGATACATATGGTTTGAAGATTCGCTGCTGATATTCCAATGCCCCATCTATGACCATTTGTAATTTGTCATTTGTGTTTTTCTTAGTTTCTCTCTCCACTGCGTACTTTGAAATCATCTGAAGTACTTGTAATCTCGACATTTTAAGTGCATGTATTCATAGGCCTGAGGCGAACTCTAATTTTGTCTGATTAATTTTTGGAAGGGACGTGTTTACGTCATGGTATTTCGATGTTGTTGATAATGTTTAGCTTCGCCTGTCACACTTTATGCCTACTTTTTTAATGTTCAAATTTGAGTTACCGAACCTATAATGTACTTGACTTGCTCAGATTTGACAAGGCTTCGACGTGATGTAGGCCTCTGCCTCGACTGATCAGTTCTTAGTTTATCTGACAATATCGGAGAAAGATTCGAGACGTATAAATTCAATTGTTTCTCATTCTCACTTTTAGGGGTGTTTGGTTGTCACGGTTACCTCTGTTAATAACGGTAATTGTGATCGGGTCGAATTCGAAACAGCACCGTAGTACGCATGTGCCTAAAAGCTAGGAAACTATCGGCTGATCATGCTGTTGAAGGAAAGACAAATCTCTGACCTCACTCCTTTGCGATACATACAATCGTGATGTATATTTCTGTTCTCTTTAACATTTGTGATTAAAAAAAATTATAACCCAAAGGGTGTTGTTTTCCTGCATTATGTCTGTCAACTTTGGTTGTAATTTTGACACTCATAAAACTGATGGCGTGCAAAAGACAATTATGTTGTTGTAAAATATTTCTTTGTTTTCCTAAAGTTATTCAATAAAAGGTAATGCTGTGGCCTCGTGGTCTGGAGCATTAAATTCATGGTCTGCGGGTAATTCTGCAGGTTGTGGGTTCGAGTCCATGCAGCCTGTGGCTATGGTGCGCGTTTCCTTGGGCAGCATCGAGCTGTATACTCCCCAGGGAGCTAAGATGGAATTGGTATGTTCAGTTGGCCAAATAAACAGGGGTAATAATGATGTAAAACGCTTTGATCTTAATTAAAAGCGCTTTATAAGAGCCCATTGTTAATATTATTATTATTTATTACGTACTATGTACACTAGATTTCGAAGTTTCAACATAACACAATGACGACACCAAAATCATTCAAAGTTGGCGTTCTACACCCAGACCACAAGTCATCTCCTATAGTTATTAATGAGAGTGCGTAAATCGACTAGAAAAATTAAAAAAAAGATTTGCATGTAGGTCGGGTGGAAGATATAAACGATGTAAAAATGCGCTGCATGTCGTTCACCGTGATTAATAATGTTCAGCCAGCCGGCGACGGTCCACAATGTACACGGGGGCAATGACACAGCGTGAACATTATTTTTTAGGATCGGTACCGATCATGCTTATTACGATCGATCTATATACACTAACATGCCCTCTGGCGGTTCCAGGTGTACATGCTGCAAGGCGGCCAAGGATTAAGGATTGACTAAACGGCGAGAGGTAGATGACATTTTACGGGAAAACGGAGAACATCGTAAACACACGTCGTGTACGCAAACCCATGTGCTACTCTGATCGGCTGTGGAATGTGGTCCGGAATCTTAATGCACTGTCGAGGTGCATGACGGGAATAGTCCCAGCATGCACTGCGATAATTTGTAGATCTGTCATATTCAGACACAGATGAGAAGAACGTTTTGGAGATTACTTCCCTTTTTTTGAGTGGTTTAAAGTTTGAAAAGTTGAACAAAGAAATTGACTGGAACGGGGCCTGAACCTGCGACCTCCGGA